GATGTCCATACTGTCATTGGTATGAGTTACAACAAACACATCATTTTGACGTAATGGCCTCCACGGCGAGAAACTCAGCTGTCGCCCCAACACCACCTGGTTTAATACACCTTGCTTGAAATCGCCGACGAGCTTTACGGTCTTACGGAAATTGAGAGCGGTGAGAGAATCAGGCTTGCCAGACTCTCGTTTTTGTATTTCTTAAAAATAAATGAAAGCAAACATTGTTGTTTGCATGAATTTTTTTGATGTGGCATTTAAGGCGGCGAACTGTTAAACAGCTGAAAAAGAAAATACAAAAACAAAATATTTCCGCTCTTGGCTTAAGTTGACGTGTTGAGTAATCATTGATGATTTCTTACGGTAAGTTAAATTCAGTTAAGTCTAGACTAACTGAGCTTAAAGGGTAAGAACATAGTGGAGCGGCTAGCTCTTCGCTTTGCTCGCCGCTCCACTATGTTTCAACCCTAAGGTATGTACCTNAAATACAAAAACAAAATATTTCCGCTCTTGGCTTAAGTTGACGTGTTGAGTAATCATTGATGATTTCTTACGGTAAGTTAAATTAAGTTAAGTCTAGACTAACTGAGCTTTAAGGGTAAGAACATAGTGGAGCGGCGAGCAAATAATGAACGATATTTTAACAATTAAATATTATAACACATAAACCGACGGTGTGCACTGCGACCTAGAGGTCTATCGGGCGCTCTGCTCTTCTTAACACTTCCGTTACCAAGATCCGGAAAAAGGCAGCCATGATTCAAAATTGATGCAGCGATGTTAGATAACCTTAAAATATATCTCCATACCCTCTTCAGAACGGGACACCTTCCCTGAGGCACGTTGTGGATTTCTACATTTTGACACTTACTGAGGGGGGTTGTTGTTTTTGTTGTTGTAGAGTTTAGTCTCTCAGGCGTTATCNATAATGAACGATATTTTAACAATTAAATATTATAACACATAAACCGACGGTGTGCACTGCGACCTAGAGGTCTATCGGGCGCTCTGCTCTTCTTAACACTTCCGTTACCAAGATCCGGAAAAAGGCAGCCATGATTCAAAATTGATGCAGCGATGTTAGATAACCTTAAAATATATCTCCATACCCTCTTCAGAACGGGACACCTTCCCTGAGGCACGTTGTGGATTTCTACATTTTGACACTTACCGAGGGGGGTTGTTGTTTTTGTTGTTGTAGAGTTTAGTCTCTCAGGCGTTATCGTCAAGCTCAACTAACGGTAGACCCAAGAAGGGTGCAGCCTCTATGGGGTCTGTCCACAGGGGACGAAGGCGTCAGCTGAGTGGGGTTTTGTGTGCATGGGAAGATATGTTTCGAGTCGTGCGGCGAAGTTGTGCTATTGTGGTCCTAGTCTCCGTCTCGTCCACGTCAGGTGGTTGTGTGTCCAGTACGGCATTCTTCTGTGAACCTCTGCACTTCGTCCGTCAGTTCGCATAGATGCCATGCCTTGGCGAGGGCTCCTCTGCAAGCAAGTGTCTGTTCGGATGTCCACGTCCGTGGGATTCTTTTATTGTGCTGGACTCATACTCGATCCAAATTTGTAGAACACCAGTCTGGTACTGCCAAAAAAATTCAAATATGTACCAATCGTGTGATCCCTGCTTTAGCTATTGCTGTTCTAGTGAAAATCCCTCCGAAATAAAATGGTGTACAGCGCAGGCAGATGTGGCAACACTCTGTCCGAAGCGAAAAATGCATCGAATGTCAGAGCAAAGCATACCAGCGGTTGACAGTTCTGTTCAAAATGGACGCAATGTCTTTTGTGTTCCCATTCTAGATCGCGTGAGCAGAAGTGATAGGTTTTTGCAGTTTACATTTTCCAAATAAAAAAGTGGAGTGTAAAAACTGAAAAAGACCAATGAAAATGAATTTGTGATATACTGCAAGTAATTGGGTCGTAAGATTTGACCAAGGCCCAATGGGAAATGCAAATTACGTCCGAATAGTGAAGCCCATAGAAATAGCAACTCGGATAGTGTCCGATGGAATTTTGTAATACACCAATTGTGAGTTTTCTTTGTGACCTCACTTTTTCCGTTTCGGTGTTCGGGTGCGTTGAGAACTATAAGCTGCGTGCTGGTAAAAGTTGGCCAAAAAGTTGTAGTGCGTAATACAATTTTCATCGCATTGCTAAATAACCAAAGTTGGAGTAATAGCTAACAACAATACTGCAGTCGGAAAAGTTAGCAAAAACTTCAGAAGCAGAAACCAGCGGCAGGCAGTTGGTGTGCGGGTGTTTGTTTGTATGTCAGCCCTCAATGAACGAATGCCTGGCTGGACACACGAAAATCCGAGAAACGCACCGAGAAAGAAAATTGAAGAAGACGGTGCGAACGATCGGGAATTGTGACTAGTGGGATTGGGCAACTTTTTTGTTTTATGCAAACTTTTATCTTCTTTTTTAATGTTGAAAAATTATGATGGATTAGTAAAACAATGCCATACGCATGCATATTCACTTCCACGTATCACATAAATATGTAGGTATCTTGTGTAAGTAGACTAAAGCTGAGAAGTGTTGAATTTGCAGTAAATGTGCAAAGCATTTACGCATAATTGTATAAAATTATAGCTACGTCAAGCTATTTTAACTTTTACAAAAAAAAAAAAAAATAAAAATTGCTATCCAAATACCAAGCAACAAATTTCGAAAGTGCCTACAAACAAGGACAAATTTTAATTCCTTTAAAATATAAAAAAAGTGATAAACCCGGATAATCGCTTAGCGTTTGGTCCGCTAATAAATAATTAAATATTAAACGCGTTTTCCGTATTCAATTTTATTCATCCAAGAGCGACTTTATTTTATATTTACCTTCATCATTGATCCAGAAAAAAAGCGTAAAAATAACCATCAGAAACTGCTACAGATTAGGTAAGTATGTATCTTATATATTTTAAAAGCTTTTACTATCTCTATACCTAATCCATATATTTCAGAAATATATTATGGAAAAAGGGAAAGTTCATGTAAAAAGCGAACAACGTGGCGTGTCTACACAATCACAACAACAAGCAACACCAAAGCTAGCTGAAGGTCATCTTGCTGCGTCACTGTCACCCGATTCGAAATCGTCCCCTTATATGGGAACGCATCACAACTTGGATCATTCGCTACAGTCAGCATACTATCATCCTCAACGTCCATCATCTAAAACAAATCCAGCCAATATTTCGGAATGTGATACTCTCGGCAATTCAGCTAACGATGGCGTATTCCCTTTGTGTTACGTTTGCGGTGGTAACGGCGGCTGCGAGTCTTTACGTATACGTCCGAATCAAGAATGTCCAACGGAACCATATTTTCCCTTCCTAGAACGCCATGAGCCGCCTAACGGCGTGCCAAAGGTAGCGAACAGTCAAACATATGTAATCGCTTGTATGTTATGTTATCGATCCTTGCGAGAACAATGGGATGCATACGAACGGAAGAAGAAACCGCATTTGCAACGCTTATATCATATGAAACGGGTGGATGGCAAAAATTACATAGGCGCCGACATCCAAACGCAAGGCGAATATGCTGCTCAGGTGCTCGGCTTGAGTGCTGATCATTTGCAGCATGGCACTTTGCATGAGGATTTCGCTTACTTTGGCAATGTGCAGAGGACACCAAATCGCGCTGAATACGAACGGCCGGCGAATGTGGTAAATCAATATTTTCCTGTGCATTCAAATGAGCCGCCATCGTCACTACATTATGCTCAAACGACGAATGTCCCTAGCAGTTCATCGGCACAACAGTACTGTGATTATTACAATCGAAATGTTAACGCGACCTTAAATGGCCAATTGACGCCACAACCAAAAGAAAAACAAATTAGCTCCACGCAGTTACCTAAGGGTATGACACACATGAATGAGGAACCTTCCACAGTTGAAACACGTAAAGCAGTTGCCAGCGGTTCGCCGTATGAATCAATTAATATAAAATCATCATCATTTGCGCATCACAAATTCAAATTGGGACAGATTTCCTATATGAACTCAGCTGCAGCACGCCACGATCTAAATCCACCAAATGAAGCTCAAAAACCTACTTCTAATTTAACTTCTGATAGCAAACAGCACCAAATACAACATCAGCGACAAGATCGCATCAGTCCATATGATTATGGTATTGCAGCTGGTGGCGGAAGTCATTCGAATGCCCCTTCGATGGCTGATGCCGACGATACTGGTGCCGCTTTAGATTTGCGAAACTCTAACAACATTTGTGAACCCTATATGCTATCATGCGGTACCTCGCGGCAAATGTTTAGAAATGCCTCGCCTAGCAATACAGCCAACCAAGTGGATGTCGGCATACTGGATTTGTCAATGCCAGACAAAAACTCATTGACTGAAGTATGTTATGTTTGTGGTGATGAGCAGCGGCGTGGTAGTCTCATCGAACTCAGTACTGTACGTTCCAAAGATCTGAAGGGTCGCCATCATCCGTACTTTCCCATTTTCAATGAACAGCATCCACGTCCGCCACGTTCACGCCCAAAGGATCCGCGTGGCATGATACAAGCCTGTCAGCTATGCTTTGAAAATCTTATACAACAATGGAACAGCTATCAGGTAAGTCGATGGAGAGAAGGAAATGCAATTGTAGAAACATAATTTATAAATAGCAGAGTTTTTCCAAGTTTTAAGCTTTGATTATAACTACAGTGACCATCCGTCCTGTACTGGATATACCTGTTTTTTGACCAATTGTCCTGGTAATTTATTTATTCTATACAGGACGCCAAATGTTCTGTATTTCTTTTAATATCCTGTATTTGTCCCGTATTCGGTGTTCAGTATTTCCACGCCATGTCAGGTCATTAAAATGGCGTGTCTATGAAACAATTTTAAGTGATGTTGGTATATGATCGTAATTTTCTCTATAAACAGTTATTATTTTCTAATCTGAATGTCTGTGCTTCGAATTGAGGAACACTTACAGTGACCAAAATATAAATTAGGACTCAACATCTTAGCCAGGTTTGGCTATTTTGCTTTTGGTTACGTAACGTTTATTATTTTTTATGAAGGTAAATCTCTTTTCCATATAAACCATATAAATCAAAATTTCCGACTTTTTGCAAAAACTGTGAAAATTAATTCTGTAAAGTTTCATCAAAATCAGAGTGTTTAGAAGAAAGTTGATTTGCAGTTTTGTAGCTCATTAAAATTTAGTACAAAAATGTGCAACGTGCTGCTCATTTGATTCCCCATAAAAAAAAATTTCTAAAAAAAAAAAAGAACAACATTTTCAACAAAAAAGTTGCCAAAAATTAACGGTAAGTCCTAGCTACTTAAGACTTGCACCTTAATAATAATAAATTGACGCTTACTCAACACGTTANAAAAAAAAAAAATTTCTAAAAAAAAACAACATTTTCAACAAAAAAAAAGTTGCCAAAAATTAACGGTAAGTCCTAGCTACTTAAGACTTGCACCTTAATAATAATAAATTGACGCTTACACAACACGTTGGCATTTGGCCGAGCTTCTCCTCCGATTTGTGGCGTGCGCCTTGGTGTTTGTCACAAAAAGGGGAGGAACCTACAGTCTTACGCCGACTCCGATCGGCGATTGTATTTTTATGAGACGCTGTTTTTTTATGGCAGCAATACACTCGGAGGTTTACCACTGCCTGCCGAGGGGCGACCGTTGTTAAGAAAAAACCTTTTTTCAAAATTTTTCTGCGATGTTTTGCCCTGCCAAGTGGAAGCGCGCACTGCTTACCACTACACTAGAGTGGCCGCCACTCTCGTAACCTAACCTAAAAAATCATATGGCACACAAAAATTTTGTTGATACCTTAATTCACCTAACTGGTATGCAGCAGTTTCGACAGCTTGCCGCAAACAACATTATTTAAATACCCCTTTGTTTACAAAAAAATATTTAATTTTCAGCTAAAATGTAAATTTATCAATCCACCAGAAACATTTGTTTAACATTGGCCTTATCTTCCAAGTTATTTTTTAACCGCAACGCAACCTGCTAGCTAAGCTTTTCCGATGCTATATACAGCGTTAGAGTTCTTTTCATATTTGAGCAGTTAGTAACTATTAAAAAAACAGCTGCATGATTGACGTATAGTACAAATAAATAATTTCCACAGAGTTTGTTAATTTTGTGATTATAAACTAATTTTTGTTCAGTTTGTATAACCATTGTAGTGGCTGGAAAGTTTTTTTTTTATTTTTATATTACAGACGTACACTAGGTATACTAGTGCAAACATGAAAATGATTTTGTGTTGGTGAAAAGCATTTTAGATTACATGAGCGATATTCTATGTAGTTGTTGTATCTGCAGTGTTTCCATTACTGCTTTTGACTCTGATACTGCATTCTGTTGACTCGGGGTCCTAATTAAGTCAACCATTATATACACATATATGTACGTATGTACATGCATATACATAGGTACAGGCTAAGTTGATTCCCACTGTTATCAGTATTTCATGTGGATTTGGGTTCGAATCGCTCATTGTCCGCTACACACTTCCAGTCGTATACGAAGCGTGCTCTTATTCGTTTAACACCGTCAAATCGTGCGGCAACAGCAACGGTAAAGGCGGTAATGTCACTGTCAGTCAGCGGACACGTTTCGGTTTCTAGTGTCTGTAGTTACATTTGTGCGTAGATATGTATGTACAAGTGTACGTGGACTAATTGTAATTGCTTCTGTGCGTGAATAAATATAGATCAAAAACGATCGTCAGATAAGAAAGATAATAAATAAACGCGGTTTCGTAAGACAAAGTGCTAACATAAAGTTAAAAAGCACAAGAATTTTAGATAAACAAAAACTTCAGTTTCGAAATCTGCTTTAAACCAGTGTTTCCGCTTCAAAAGTTGCCTAAGGCAGTATTCCTGCGTTCGCTGTATGTATGTTGAGCGATCTCTTATCAAAAGCTTATAATGTATAGAATAGTACTTGCTGTTCTAAATTTAAAGTGTTGCTTCATTTGTAAATTGATTAAGCAAAATATAACTGCGGAATAAAATTAAAAGTTATCTTTTCGAGTGCTCTCGTGTTGGCGAAAAAAATTTAAATTTTTAAACATATTACTTAAGTGCAACGCCTCTCTTGCCCGTGTTCGGACTTGTAAATGCCATTTTTTTAACATAAGTGGTGTAGAAAGAAGTGTTATAGTTTTGTAAAAACTATTTGTGTGGGGAATATTTTTTTTGCGATCCTTAAATCAATGCAAATTCGCAAGTGTTTATTGCTGTTGGTAATGGCAGATTGTAGTGATAAAGGTGCGATCGGTGTCGGTGTTACAACAAATGCTGTTGGTGCAGCGATAACGTTAAGGGGAACAGAAGCGACAGCTTGTACGCGGAAAGAGAGGAAATTGCTGGAAAACGATAACTGGAAGGATTATAAGAAATTAAAAACTTATCTAATTCTCAAAGATAAGGAGGAAGAGAAGGTGAAGGTAAATAGTGAAATAGGTGGTGGTAATCTTAGGCAAATATAATAAATGGGAATGTTAAGTATACTTAACAAAGTAAATACAAAATAAAAATACAAATAATGTTAATAAATAATAGGTATTTTCACCATAGCTGCTTGGGGAGCCTTATGCTGTTATAATACCTCCTTTTGTCGCCAAACTTGCCAAATTGCACTAGGTCGAACATGTTGGTATTTTTCATCTCTACCGCCGCAACGACACTAAGGCGGGACCGTTAACCCTGCAGGGAAATCTAGAAGTTCCTGGGCTAAATTTGTCTGAAAATATGCAATGCATTGGGGAAAGTCTCTCATGCAGCCTAACAAGTCAATTATGGCAACTGTCTTTTAACTTACCACAGGCAAAAAAATTTGTACGAATTTGTACGAATTGTCATGATATTTGCCCGAATCGCGTTCGTGCAAGCCAAAAAATGATCGATCACTCAAAAACTGAGAGCGCAAAGTGACAGTTCTCCTGGAGAGAAGTTGCAAATTCTTGCACGAAAAATTTTAGCCAACAAGAATTTGCAATCCCGAAAAACATATGATTGTGGCACATGGTTGCATTGTGTTCCGACGATAATTTGAATAAAAAAGTTCGTTAAATTTAATAATTTATAAACACGAGAGATTTTCAAAGAAAAAAGGAAGTACATACTTGTTGATATCCCTACAAGAATTGTGTGATGGAAACTAACACATTCTCATTTATATAATTAATTTCGTTTATTCCAAATTAGCAAAAAAAAAATGCATTCGCAATCGGATTGCAATTGCAACCAGAGTCTTTTTAAGAAACCCGACAGCTAGTATGATAAAGAGCAAGAAATATACATGTATATTCTATTTTTGTCTATCTGAAGTAATTTTAAAAATTCTATAAAAATTTGCGTTCGTGTTGAAATTTGCAAGTTTCCCAACATGAGAGAGGATTTAAGAGAACTTTTTCATACTCTCTGATATTTTGAGTGTTGGATAATTCTTGCTGGATTTCCGATGAACAAACCTATTTGCTGTCTTTCGAAAGACTAATGCAAAGATCTGCTAACGAGGATATATACACTGCCGGAACAGCAAAATTTTCACAATATATGCAACAATTTTCATTCTAATATTTTTCCGCTAATTTCGTATAAAAATATGGTTCATTCTACAACAAGAAACATAAAAATATAATTCCTAAACTTTGTGCAAAACTCGCGAAAATTCAGCAAATCTTCATGAAAATTTTCAACTTTTTAATCAGATTTTTTAGAATTTCTTTGTGTATGCAGATTTGTAGCCCAATCAATTTTATTATAATAAAGTGCAAATTTTAAGTAGCTAGGAATTACTGTTGATTTTTGGCATTTTTTTCACGCAGTCTTTTCCATACAAAAAATTTTTTCGAAAATACTTTATATGGAATAAAATGCAAAACACCTTCAACAAAAAAATTCTCAAAAATCAACGCGATTTTTGACTAACTCCACACTTGCATTTTTTTACTATAATTTAATGGGCCGCAAAACTGCGTACTCTGATTAAAAAGTTGAAAATTTTAATGAAAATTTGTTGAATTTTCGCTAATTTTGCACAAAGTTTAGGAATCATATTTTTATGTTGTTGAATGAACCATATTTTTATACAAAATTGGCGGAAAAATATTAGAATAAAAACTGTTGCATATATTGTGAAAAATTTGCTGTGCCAATACTTTGTTCCGGCAGTGTATATTTTTTTAAATAAATAAAAACAAGAAATTAACAGAAAATAAATAAATAAAGGAAAAATCAAATGAAAACTAAAAAATTAGTTTCTAAAAATTAAATGATACTAAAATAATTGTTTATGTATTTTAACAGAAAATTCAGTTAAAAAAGAAAAAAAAAAATTAAATAACTTCCTTAAAATTAGTTAAGTTAATTTTTTTTAAGAATATCTCACACCCAAATGAAATTTCATTAAAATCATAAAAATATGTACATATAAGTTTCTAGAAAGTAAATGATATTAAAATAATATTTTTCATTTAAAAAAATTAAATCAAAGAAAAAAATAAATCAGAGAAAGTAATAAATTCATATAAATATATCCATATACATATATTTTTCTCTTTTAAACAATAAAATGAAAAGAAAATTAATAAAAAAAATATTAAAAACAAAAGAAAAACTTTAAAAACAAAATTCCGCTGCCCAAGGACTCGACCTCGGTTCTCACGCCAGTCCTTTGCAACTCTTGGAGCAGCGCGATCAAAATGATTCCAAGTATTTTTTTATCAAAAAAGTGGGTAAGGGAGCTGTTTTTGTAAGATATTCGTGCCGGAATAAACCAAATCCTGCAAACAATCTTGCCTACTGACTTTCAACCGTCTTATAAAAGACTTTCAACTATCTTAGCTAGAATTGCCCTGTACTTTTTCTGACCGTCACTGATATAAGATCTATCAAATCTATAGAAAGCTTTAAAAAGCTTTCGTGGGATGTGTTTAGGTCGTAACTGATTTGCAGATTTTCGATGGTAAATATATCTTTCTTTTTCACAACTACTGAAAATTTTCTATAAGCTTTATATGGACGCACAGATTAAAAACTCTTTCTGGCCGTCACTAATATTAAATCTATAGAAAGCTTTCAAAAGTTTCTGCCGTAAGATGTACTTTGGTCGTAACTGATTTGCAGATTTTCGATGATAAAAATGTGCTTATTTTGCACAACTGTTGAAAATTTTTTTATAGATTTTATATGGACGCACACTGAAACCTCTTCCTGACCGTCACTGATCTAAAATCTATAGAAAGCTTTAAAAAACTTCTGCCGTGGGATGTGTTATGGACGCGACTGATGTCAAAATTTTTGGTGATCAAGATTTATTTCTTTTTTACAACTGTTGAATGTTTTTAGGGCCCCTGCGAGAATCTCGTTCTTCTTCTAGGGACCGATCTCGGCAAGAGCTATCTATTGTCCGTCTGGTTCAGCAGATGACGAATGTTTGGCTGAATCTGGTCTTTAGGATTCATAGCATCGTTTAAAGTTACTTAAATAATATCTTTATAACTACCTTTTCTTTATGCAGACCTTGAACTAAAGTAATCTATGCAAAATTTTAACCTCGTATCTTTTTCCAGACTGGCCAAACACCTGAAAATGATCGCTCCTATACGCTACGTAAGAAACCCACATCCGTCACGGAACGCACCACATTTGTATGCTATACTTGTGGCGGCGATACGCCCTCTTCACGATTACGGCTAGTCTACTGCTGTCCAAATGCTGAGCGCGAGCCCTACTATCCCTTCATAAAAACAATGAAAGCTTTCAAAAACGCTAGTCCAATTAGTCCACAGGGTAAGTACCTACGCATTTTTTACTTCCTGCCAATCACACATTTTGCTTAATTTTTCGCTCTTCTTTTTCAGGCATGGTGCAAATATGTTCCTCTTGTTATGAAAAGCATTTATACTTAGCTGAAGGTGGCAATAATGCTACAATGGCAACAGCTACCTCTACGGGGCGTGTATCCGTCGGCGCTGGCTGCGATAATAGCGCTGGCGTTGGAGGTGCCGGCGTTATTTACAGCATTGATAGCGACTCAAATCTCAATAACAACAATGTGATCGGCACCAGTGCTGAGGGTGCTGGACGTTATACACCCTCTGAGAAGTCATTAGCCAATTCCGATTCGACAAGTAATGTGAAATTTAAGGTGAGTTGAGTTTTAAATAATTAATTTGTCCACTTCTTTCTGTGCTAGTTATTGCATAAGACGCTGGTCGCCCCAAGTCCTCAATTATGAGTGCCTTTTCAAGTATGCATGTGTACATGTATGTACGTGCGTTCGTGTGGTTATTCCTAGATTATAATTCCGCAGTTTAAAATAAGTGGGCATAGTGTTTTCGCTTAACTACAAATGTTTATGTTCGTATATATATTTATAGGCATAAGTACATATGTACACTTTCCACTAGATTTATTTTTATTAACACGCGGCATCAATATGATTAACGAGCACTTATATTTATTTTTTCTGATAACGTCGAATGTCAATAAAGGTGCCCACTCGATGTAACAGAGGCTATCGCTTGGGGCCAATAAAACAGTCACCTTTTGCCTTATCAGGCCAAGCAACCATCTCGCATGCATGCAAGTCAGCAAAAGTCAACGAGACGGCAGCAAATATTGTTGGTGGTGTAGTACAACACGCTGACGCGCTCTATTGAATGCAAAATGATTTAAAGATTAAACAGAAGGAGAATACAAAAAATAAAAATCAAATACAAAAAAATTGACTGACGCACAGACAGACAGAAGGTGAAATGTTACAAAAATTCCGCTATTATGGGAAAAATACTAGTTGTATGCCTAGCAGCAGTTCAAGTAGATTATGATAGTATATCATACGTATGTATATTTGCATTTATGTATGTACATAAATAGCATCCCGTATACAGAGAATAAAACAGCAAAGCGTTTTTCGCACTGAAGGCCGTTCGTTGGCTAATGTATATTGTTAAGTAAGCATGGTGAATGGCAGACAAATTTTGCGTGAAGTATTGTTTTAATTGTTGATTGTCACTTTATTATGTTCTATTTATTTGTTTTTTTTTTTGTGCACATGCATGCCTTTTTAACCTTTTTTTTTGCAAATAACTTGCTGCCGTTCTAATGACAAGTGTCTCGTCCGAATGTGTGTCTCACATGCCCCTCTCTATATCTGTGTTGGTGGCAGTGGTGGTGCCAGCGGTGGTTTGCGCATTTGCAAATATTTTGAGAGTAATTTCATTATCAATAACACCAAATAAAATGTCAACATGTGTACTAATTCAAGTCAACAAATGTCACTGATAAGATAATGAGCCTAGCTGTAATATTATTTTTGTGTTTTTTTTGGTTTCTTTTACGTTTTACTTTGTTTGCACTCGTATTTATTATTTCACTCCATTAAAATAAAATAAATTCTTAGATGGCTAGAAACAAAGTAAATAAAAGGAGTGTTAGCTTTACCGAGTAAGCATATACATACATATGTAGGTATGCACACATATAGAACATGTGTGATAAGTAAGCCGGCCGCCGTTGCTAGGACCCAGGCTTGATCAGGGAATATCTAAATGATAGAAAATATTTTTTATTTTTTTTTCAATTATGTTCGCGGCTCGGCAGGCATATTAGTTTTAACCAGAAAAATATGCAAATCTGCAAAATGGTAAATTTGTTCCCATTTTATTCGCAATATAATCGAAATGTGGAGGATGTATGAGTCAAACGGACCTCAGATTCGGATTCAGTTGGTGGAAATACATGCCGGTGGCGTGTATAGTAAAATCGTTTCTCAATTACTACTCTTCGCCACAGCCTATACTGGGATCTGCTAATGTGAAGCGTGAAAATTATAACAGATAAACACAAGGCTAACAGGTTCTAGTAGCTGAATCCGGATAGAAAATACTCGTATGACAAAGGCTGAATTTCTTTATTCATTCTGAACGTTTGGAATAAACTTTTTTGTTTACTTATTCTTTAGAACGTTCCTGATGATATGTTAACGTATATTTCAAACGTATTCTGTTTATTCCGGCTGTGAAATGGGATTATCCGGAATGTATAAAGAAACGCAGCTAAAATGTTAAAATAATAATAATTGCAAAAGTCAACATTTTAAAAAGGTTTTTCTAGATTTGCATAGCAATTAAATGGCCCCTTATTCAGTAAAAAATTACTATTGTTGGTAGTAGCGATTTAAAGATGTTAGTAAACATACGTGCTGACGTGACGTTACAAAAAAAAGGGGTGGATTTTGACTTGGGTTACAAAATGGCAAAACTCAGAAATTGGGCAATACTATTTGTATGAAACTTTTGTAGTAATATAATAAATATTTAAGGTTAATTTTCCAAGTTTTTAAATGTAGAAATATTTTCTGCTTTTTGTTTAATCAGCTGAACTATCTGACGGGACATAACCTGACGCTACTTTACTAAAATCTCCATTGAAAAAGTTTTGTTAATATTGTTTTCGAACGAATTTTCAACGTGAAAAAACATCCATTCTATGCCGAATATACTTTTTGTTTTGACATCGACGCCACAGCGGTTCCCTTTTTTTCAAATGCCAAATGTGAAATAAGCCAGAGCATAAATACAGTTTTTCAAAATATCTCGACCCTGGCGCCCCCTAACGAGATAATTTTTAGCAAAAATGTGTCTGCCTTCATTACCAGTATATTCTATAAAAAGCAGCCAAATCGGCCTATAAATAAGTTAGATAAAGGACTTTTTTTCGCGGGTGACTTTTCGCTGGGATCGCCCATATATATATTTTTTTTGACAAATTCTTTAACGATTTGTACTACTTCTTCATACTTATTGGGAAATAAACAACCTACAGCCTTGGCCATAAGGTGGACAGCCCAATATATGACGATTTTTTTTTTTAATTTTCTTTTGTTTATTTAATGTTTAATATTTTTTTTACAAAATCTTAGCTCACCATCTAACAAAACATATGTAAAACCAAATTCCATACTTTGTGCAAATAGTATACAAATTTTACTTTATTCAGAATCTTTAGAAAAAAAATTGGTATGCAGTTTTGTAGGCCATTAAATAATAGTAATAATAAAGTGGCAGTTTTAAGTTGCTAAAAAATCCCGCCGATTTTTGATTTGATGACAAAGAGACGTAAATTTTGCCGACAGTGCATACAAAAAACTTTACAGTTATCATCAATTTTCGTATCCGGAAAACGTTCGAAAAAGATGATGTCATTCGAAAGCAGTAATTGTATTTTATTTGCTCAAGCTAAACATCTGAAAGGATGCATGCGTAGTCGGCAGTGGCTGAGCGTGCAGAGGAGTGTGCCGCTATTTGTTAGCTTCCAAAAGGTGGCGGTTTTCGAATGCCGTCAGCCGCTTCCTAATTTTATTTTATTTCTTTTGAACCACGAAAAATATCTCTGAAGTGCAGAAGGAAAGTGTATTGAATGAAAAATTCAATCAGACAAATTTCAGAAAAACACAACCGAAAACGTATCTTTTTCACCGCCATTTTCGGTACTTTTCTGTACATACGTTTCTATGGGCGTGACCCCGCCCACTTATGATGAAATGCTATATCTCAGTAGCCGCTTCACCAATCCTTACCAAACTCGGTAAGAGCCTTGCCTAGGGTTTAGCTAAAAAATCTATTGAGAATCTTTGAAATCGGGAACTAACCACGCCCACCTGCCTTATAAGGGTAAGGGTGGCGCCGCCCACTTTTTACCACAAATGTGTATCTCGGTAACCGATTTATCAATTTCTACCAAACTCGGTACACTTAAATTATTCAAATCGGACGAAAATTACACCCGCTTCCGAACACGAAAAACTGCGATATTTCATTAACTAAGGGCGTNACCACAAATGTGTATCTCGGTAACCGATTTATCAATTTCTACCAAACTCGCTACACTTAAATTATTCAAATCGGACGAAAATTACACCCGCTTCCGAACACGAAAAACTGCTATATTTCATTAACTAAGGGCGCTAATTTAATCCAAGTTAATAGTTACAACAATCTCTTTACGATATATAAGACTGCTATAGACTTTAACGAATTGGGCGTGGTACCGCCCACTTTATGACTAGAAAAGTGTATGTATCTCGGTAACCAGTTCATCGATTTCTACCAATAGTTGATACCTGTCTGTGCGTCGGGTAAATAACTTAACTTGTTTTTTAATATTTTTTATTTTTATTATTTTTTGTTTTCTGATTGCGATAACCGAAGAAGGAAGCGTGTTTAATTACCGCAGATTTATTGTGAAATTAACATCAAGGGCGCTGACATCTGCAATAACCTAATCTAAAATACTATAAAATACAGATTAAAATGTAGTCCCAAAATAAACGATAACCTCATGCAAACATAGACCTAGCCATGAATTTTTATTTATTTATTTTTATTTTTTTTTGTTTCATTGAAAAACGTTTGTTGTGTGACCAAGAATTGTGAGATTTAATGCCTCAAGCGGCTACATATTAAACTAGGGCTAAAATTAGTGTCACCAGCCAGCAGCAGCTATCTAAAGCATTCGTAAAAAAGCGAGTAGGCAACAGTAGTGGCTTTTTCTTTGAAACGAGAATCTAATCATGTCGACAATGCTTGCGAGCCAACGCTTTTCAATTACGATAATTGTCGAGTATGTTTGTTTGATGGATGGCTGCGTGTGGACTTTGGGGTTGTGGCCAGTATGTACATTTGTATATGGTATATGCGCATATAGTTATTTATAAATTCATAAATAAATAAATAAATCAAATTACTTATAAGTATTGACAAAACAGATCATTGTAGTGACGCAAATAAAATTGATTTATTCGCGAAATTTTATATTTCGTATGGATTTGAAATATGGCAGTGTAAACCTATTTTTTATTATACATATGTACATAAAAATGTGTTTGTTAGCTTTAGCCTTAGCTTTTGTTTGTCCTATTGCATTTGTTGTTTGTATTTGTATTTGTATGCTACTATACATATGCAGCTTATGCCGTCTGGTAATGTAGTAATATAGGTGCCTGCCAACTATTTCACTTCCTTTTCAGCCATACGAACCAATCTCAAATAGTTCTCCATCCACACAGCGTGATTTTAAATTCGCACGACAGGGTGATTCGCGTCCAAATTCGCCGACATCATCATCTCAGGGACCCGGCGAAAATGAGCGTGGACAATATCCGTAAGTATATTCAAAGATCTGTATACATTTGTCGCCTGGATGATAGATTGTCGTAAGCGTCATTTTGACGATTTTTAGTTGTAGATACAGTTACATATTTAAAAAAAAAATAAGATCTATCAAATGGCGTTATTCATTTTTGGATATCTCCTTTAGTTTCCGAGATATTGAGTAAAAATCGTCGTTAATTTAGTACATATGTTTATCACATTTTGCCGTATTTCAAAGTGGCTGCAAAATTGTTGGAAAATGCAGCATACGACAAAATGTAACTACAGAAAAACCTTCATAACCTCAAAAATAACACTATCCAATTCCTATGAGAATTGCTTGGTGATTCTGAAAATCGATTGTTCAATTGGTTCGTAAGATATACATACGTAATTAAGTGGAACCACTCTTTTTTTTTTAAGTTGAATAATGGTAAATTTCAAATATCTCGAAAAGTTATCCATAAAAAAATAACTTCATTTACGGAATCACCGAGCGAATTGCATAGGAATTGGATAGTGGCATCCGGTGAACAAAAAAAAAAAATAAAAAATTTGTGATCCAAATATTTTTAAGAACTTCGTGAACTAGTAACATTCTCCGAGGCTTTGCAGAAAATCTATTGTCTCATTTCGTAGAAATTGCATTCCATACTTCAATCGCGATTGGCCAAACTTGCCGAAACTAGCATACGACAAACTTCCACCCAGGCGACGATTTACGCACATGATGTACATGGAAAAGTTGTACAACATTTTTGCCAAACATATTTATCTGCACAGCTGCGATGATATAAATACTATGTCTATATTTATCTTAAGTCTACCGCTTAAAAACAAATTATTTTTATTATTAAGTATATACACTCCGCTTCACTTGAATAGGTACACATTTTGCCTTCAAGATCTGATCTTGTATCTGGACTTGGGACATTTGTAAAAAGCTTCCTTTCAATCTCATTTTGAAGAATGATCAGTTTCGAAGAAAAGTGGTGAATATGAAGAAAACACCGAGAATGAGTTCAGCTCAATAACAACTTTCCAAACAACACCACTCAGTAACGGTGAAAATGGGCAAATCTGTACAAATGTACAAATCGTGCGATACCCGCCTTAAACCTTTTTAAGAATTCTTCAAAGTGAGATTAAAATGAAGTTTCGCCGATGCCCTAAAGTCCAGATCTTAAGGAAAAAATGTGTACTGATTCAAACGAAGCGGAGTGTATGTACATATATCAAGCGCTTATATCTGCAAAAGCAACAAAAATTAGTTTTTTTATATTGAAATCATCCTCCGACTTAACTGCCATCGATGATACTGTGAAGATAGTCTCATATATCGTTTGTTAGTAAAATTTACTGTTGGACTTCAATGTTAAAAGCAATAACAAGTTCAGTCACGGGTTGGTTTGAATATCAGAAACTATTTTGTTTAAATTAAAATTGCAGACAGATTGAATATAAGCTCTGGATATATAATTTTAAATCATATAAAAAATTGTTCTATTATATGTTCATACGTAGTAAGGAGGTCATATGCTTATTCTAAACGCTCGATGAACAACATTCGATACCGAAAAAAACTCGAATCGAAATTAGTTTTTGAGATTACGGCATTGTATGACAAGTGCGTTTCGGCAAATGCAATTATTTTCATTCGATCACGAATGTCGTGGTTCGTGCCCTAGTGGCATAGCATAAAAACGAAATATTTCAATACTTACCTAAATTGCGAAAAAAATTCAAATGAAATTTTTAATAAAATGTTTCCTAATGCATGTTTGTATCTCCTTGCACAGTTGCTCCATTTGTAAAGTCCTTTCCGCTGCCAACAAAATGGAATGGCTCTCTACTAGCGCCGAACACATGAATTCGCATGCCATGCATTTTCCCTGCTTGCGTGGAAGCAATAGCAACAGTCGTGATAATGTCAGCTTAAGTGGCAACAATGGAGGTGGTGGTAATGGTAGCGGTGGCTCTGCCAATAACAACGATACCAACAATCGTGTACTCGCCTGCAAGGATTGTGTTAATTACTTAGCGCGTCAATGGGAGACAATGGATGCCGAGCGTGTGCCATTAGAGCATAGAAGGTACATAAGAGAGCTAAAAACCATTTTCTATATATATTTTTTAATATATTTATGATATGATATTTTAAACTATATACATTTCTCTTTATATAGATACAATATACCTTCGCCCATGATCACTTCAAGCTCACCCAATGGCTCACGTCATGGCGGTCTAACCATAACTACACCACCGTCCACGCCATCTGTGTCTTCAACACCAGCCAGCACATCGATTTATTGTTTCCTATGTGGCTTGCATTCGGATTTGACATTGGCGAGGGTGTTGTATGCAAGCAAAGAGGTAAAGTTTAATTGCAATTTTGTATTTGTAAGAAAGTTTGGACTTGTAATTATTAGGCATAGCAGAGAGTTAGATGTGTTTGAGTGCAAAAATTGGGATTTTATGCTTTCTAGACAAACAAAAATGCCAAAACTTGAATGAGCCTTAGGACTTTTCTATAAAAATACATATCGATTCCTAACCGCCAGAAAAAAACGTAAATGCATCTAGGAGAATTTCTGCACCAAAACGAA